CATTTATCTAGTACAAATATCTGTCACTTCCCCCAAATGTTGGTGCATATTGTGCCTTTGTGTAACAAAATCTGAGTCTAACTTATTATTAGGAATAATGACTAGATGCAAACATCCTTCTAAACCATAATTTCTTCAGTATTTATTTTGTAAACAATGAATAAACTTTGGGATACAGATTAGTGCTACATATAAATTTGGCCTTTAATCCCAGCTAAGGTCACTGTATACCTATATCTTATTTCAATAATGACTCCTCTCTATAAAAGTGTACAACCACTATGATATCAAAGTCACAGCAGGCTTTGTACTGCACACTCAGGGTTACATTATTTTCAAGAGGTTGGGGCCTTTAGGACCTAATTATAGATGCCACCCAGGCTTAAAAGAATGATTTTTGCCCCTTAATGGTCCTCCAATCCTCAAAAATGCAAATGAGACTCAACGTTTTTGCAGTTACAATATGGTGCTAGCCAGTGCTTTTTTCTCATAGAACGCCCAGAACGGAGTTCCAGCACCTTTTTTGGATGGAACCTTATAGGGCAGGTAAAGCAGGTTGTATGACGTGTGTGAGTTCCGGCACCTTTTTTTTTTTTTTAGAAAAAAAGCACTGGTGCTAGCAGAGTGCGGGTGATCTAACCAGTGATCTTTTTACATCTGGTTAAGGAAAATCAGGAGGACAAAACAGATGGAAAATTTCTTCCTTGCATTTTAATTTCATTCTCAAGGACAGATTAGGCTGCAGTCAAACACCATCTGGTGCTCCAGAGATTTCTGCATCAAAGACAACTCTGGAGACCGACGTCCCTGTTGTACACCAGAGGTTTAAAAAGCTGTAACTTTTTAAAACCATAAATGTACAGAGATACTTCTCTGTTGGGGTAATAATCTTCATGTCCAATAAAATAAATTGTTTGCCCACAAAAAATTAGATTGTACTAAATATGCCAATCTATTGCAAATAGTCTTAAATAGTCATAAAGCCTAATATAGCTACTGCTCAGTTACAAAGCATTGGACGCCACAAATCGTTTAAGATTTTCAAACAAGCAACCACAGAATCCATCACTTGATAAAAATGTCTAGGGTTGAAAGGATTTGGACTTCCTTCAGTTTCTTTTACCCCGTGACTGAAAAAAAAAGAATGTTAATAGAATGTATTCCAGCTTCTGCTTTAGAACAGAAAATACAAGCAATTGAGTTAGAAAAGGTTATGCATACCACATCTGGACTGCATAATCATCATCAACATCAACATCTATGAAGCTTGTATGCTGTCTGATTCTAAACAACTCTAACAATCAAATAAATTGCAATGCAATCAATGGATAAATAAATGAGAATAAGGAGATACAAAAAAACCCTCTTCTTCTTGTTTCCATCATGCGGTCATCCTCATGTTCACAGCTCAATTAAGGTATTTGTATAAAAGGAATAGAATAAAAAGCACTCACCATCCATTCAACTTCTCCCCTCTCAGCCCCACATATAAACTGCCTCTCAACTTGCAACACTTCTCACCACTCTGACATCTATATGATGATATTAATATTCTCTAGACAGTACCTTATTAACTTCCATGGATGCTCTACAACCATTATCATAGCAACCTTCATTCTTCCGAGAAGTCAAACTGTACAAGTTGTTCTCCTGCTTCTGTTTAAGCACAAAAGCACAAAACTGAGCATGGGAGCTTATACCTGAATCTATATGAAGTCTGTTTATGCATTCTTCTCTGGAGTGGTCTCTGTTGAATGTACAAAAAGACTGTCTGCTACATAGACTGTTTAGAAAAATAGTGTGGGTGGATGTGCAAGAGCACCCACCTGAGGATAGAATGCATGAGGTTGGCTTTCTCTAGCCCCAGGCTTCCCTTTTATATGGCAAATTCCATCATTCCAGCTACATGTTTGTGTAATGGCTGTGGATAAGGAGCTGTGCAACCTTAGAAATCCTGAAAGAACCAAGGTGGCAGAGACTGATCTAGGTCAAAGGAAGACTAAAGCCCATATGGAATTTTGAGAGTCAGCTGTGAGCACTCTCACAAAATGGCTATTATGGTAATCACAGTCAATCACTACAAATCCTTTTCACTGGAAGATGAGGGGTAAAATTGCTTCCTACCACTTCTTTTGGCTTCTTTGGATTGCTTCTGTTTTAGCAGCTTTTGGGGTTTTCTCCTTGGGCACTTCCAAAAATAACCCTGGGCTTCAGTAATTCACTGGATTTTTTATTCAAAGAATGTTTATGGGATTTATTTGACAGACAACAGAATGGAATTGAATGGAATGTTATCATGGTCAGTTGCCAATATAAAAAAAGAAGAAAAAGAGAGCAAAATATTTGTATCTATAAAGCTAAGTAAATGAATAAATTAAAAACGGCATAAAATACTCATAAACCCTATAAAATCCATTAAGTATTAATGTACTATATATTATTCACAGCTTTCAGTCCTTGATTAGATTTATGTAAAAAGTAAGAAAAATGGAGTGAAAAAAAGAAAATAACTTTATGGCATATAATATTAGAGTATGATGAAATGTAGAATTTTGACTTACTGAATTTCTTTGTGGCACTTACACTTTTGTGGATCTTCGGAGCAAAATCTTGAACTTGTGACAAAACAATAGAGGCTTTATGTGAAGGTAAAATTCAGCAAACTAGACTTTAAAACTGAAGTGGACACCTTATTCTTAGAAGTCTAGCTTTCTCACAAAAGGGGAGTGACAGAGATAAACATTTCAGGTCAATAAGGAAGATGCTAGGGGCCTATGTTTGTTTAAAACCTATGTATTTATATGTGTATGTCTTCAAGTTAGTGTTGCTTCCTGCAGACTGCTGGACAAGTCCCTGTAATTTGTTCGGCAAAATTTAGAAGTGATTTGGCATTGCTTTCTTCCTAGGAATAAGAAAGAATGACTCGCCCAAGATCACCCAGCTGGCTTTGTGTCTAAGGTGGGACTAGAACTCATGATTTCCTAGACTCCCGGTTTTTAGCTGATGCCTTAACCACTATACCAACTGGTTCTCTCTTTAAAGACATGTCTAAAAACATTGAGGAGGCAAAGAGCCTGGAATGAACAACAGTGATGTCCATGTGGACTTTGCTCCAGCCAAAAATCATGCTGTCTCCTCTTCATTTAGATTAGTACAATAGCTGGTCCAACAGCTTGTCTTCACTTGCCTTAACCGCAGGACTCAGTTTGGCACCTGTGACTTCCAAGATTCCTAGGCAGCATGGCCATCAATTCTCTGGAGGGTAATTTGTGAAGCTGCATTTCCATGTTCTCCTGGAGGACACCAGAGTGGGGAATGCTGTACAGTAAAAGTCATGGTTGAGCTAAGACCTGAACTTCCACCTTCTATGGCCACATTAAAATTCAATTTGTTGCACTGCTTCTCCAAACTCTGTTTTGAAAAAGGCAATTATGTCTCATAGCTAATTAGCATCAGATTTCCTAAGCATCAGTTTTGATTTTGACATGTAGGGGTCATTGATGAAGAATGCCTTCTTCCCAAGTGATCTGCCCCTGTGGAAAATTGAGTCCTACAGATGCTTTCAGTGACATTTAAGTAAGACTGCCAGAAACTTAGCAACTGTCATTTTATATTTATATCCTAACTTTCCCTAAAAGCTCAAGAAAATGTTTATCTTTCACAACAGCCTTGTGAGTTATATTATGCTGAAAAATCCTCCACACTCACTTCCAGCAGTATGGCTGAGGGAGATAGGAAACTGGATCCATTTATTCTGGTCCAGAACTTAGAATTTGCACAATGTGTGAAACATGTTCTTTCAAACTCTGAATGTATGTTTGCATATGTATGTATGTGTATCTAACCCACATTATTTGGACAGAGAAAATGGGTCAATTTAACAGCAAGGAAAAATGTGTTGTGCAAATAAAAACATTTAGAATCCTGGCAATCCATTACTGCCTCTTCATGACCCATTAAAGCCCAGAACTGGCTGCTGTGTTTACAGAGGTGGAGAGCTAAAGCATTCCAGAACATCATTTTCCAGTTTCTGGATCTATAACATGACAGCCTGTCTTTTCTTTTGTGCAATAAATCTTCTGCCGAGTAGGCATGATGGTCTGTGCTGTCTGGAGTTCACCCCCACGTTCACATTCTCTCAGTCTCAATCTCTGTGATGCCTGACTTGATAGCTAGGCCTACACTTCCTGCCCACGTCCTCCTCAGCTATGCTGGAAAAGTTTACCAGAACTCTCACCCAAGCTGCTGCTGACCAAAGCAACAACCTTCAGGTGTTTTGGGGGTCATATGTTTGAATACAAAATACTTACTTTCTAAAAAAGCCTGAACATAGACAAAATGGCCCGTCCTGCTCAATATGACTTGGAATATTTGTATTAATAAACACACTGCATGTATACAGGGACACATAAGAATTGCTTATTTCTTGGGGTTTTTTACTTTGTCTTATTAAACTTTGAATTCTAATTTGAATAATATTCTTTATTATTCAGAGTAAGTCCTGGAATAAAACACTGAAATTACTCAGTGCAACTCAGTCAAGGCAGAGCAATTCCTGCTGGTAGCAATAGCACTTAAACTTATATACCGCTTCACAGCCCTCTCTGCCTCGTTTACAAAGTCATCATATTTCCCCCAACAATCTGGGTCCTTATTTTACCGACCTCGGAAGGAAGGAAGGCTGAGTCAAACTTGAGCCGATGAGAATCGAACTGCCGAACTACTGGTCCAGAACGCCAACTCCCTGCTCTCCTGACATTACATAAGGTGAGGCCAGTCCCTACCATGACTGCAAACACTCTGCACATGCTCAAGGGCACTCTTCTTTAGCAAGAATCCTGCAGATAAAACCGCGTTAGCGGAACGTGAGAACAGGACACGAATGAGGGCAAAAGATGCCCCGGATTTCTGGAAAAGGAACTTCACCCGAGTGTCTGGCTAGGTCTGAGTTTGTCGGGCCCCCGTCTCTTTTGCAGCTATCGCCAGCGAATGCCACTTACCTGTAGGCACGGCAGGTGCCTTCAGCCGCTGCGCCCTGGCCAAGGACTCCGGACGCAGCGTAGCGCGCACATGCCGGGCGGCAGCAACATAGACGAACTCACCCCGCCAGAACCGCGCTCCGCCTGAGCCATGTGCGCCTTGGCTGGGAAGCGCCGGGTCTTTAATTCTTCTCCCGGATCCAGATTAGAAGCGGATTTAGCGCCGCAGCAGTCCAGCGCCCTCTTCTTGATGCCGAAGGCGCCTGCCGCTTACCCCTGCGCGGCTCCCGAATCACCTCTAGCCATCCCGGGGGATCCGCACAGAGTGCTACAGCCGCCGCCGCTGTCTGCCGCTTCTGAAGATGAGAGAGACAGCTCCCCCTCGTAACCCCGTCCAGGCACCGTCTACAAATGTTCGCTTTGTTACTTGCCAGAAAGAGGGAGGGAGGGAGGGAGGGAGGGAGAGTCCGTGGTGAGCCCTGCGCGTGGCTTCTCTTCCTTTCCAAATCGGGAGGTTGCCGGAGGATGACTTTCTCTTTGGAACCAAGGAGGAGGACGGACCAAGCGCGTCGTCTCTGCCTCCGGGGTCTCCGGTTCCTCCCGCGCATAAAGGCCACTTGGGAGGCAATTCATTACGCCGAGTTGCTTGGCCTCCGAGCTGAGGCAAAGGCGCAGAAGAGAAGACGGGAAAGCCTCCGAGGAAACCTCGACTGGATTTGTCTCGCTAAGAAGAGAAAGCAGTTTCTCTGTGCCCTGAATAGTTGCAAGGCAGAGAAAGGTCAGTGGGGGGGGGGGCACGGAGGAATACAGGTAATCCTCGACTTACAACAATTCATTCAGTGGCTGTTCAAAGTTACAATGGCACTGAAAAAGTGTCGTATGACCATTTTTCACACTTACAACCATTGCCACATCCCGGATGCTTGGCAACTGGTTCATATTTATGATGGTTGTAATGTCCTGGGGTTGTGTGATCCCCTTTTGTAACCTTCTGACAAGCAAAGTCAGTGGGGAAGCCAGATTCACTTAACAACTGTGGCAAGCAAAGTCGTAAAATGGGGCAAAACTCAGTTAATAAATTTCTCACTTAGCAACACAAATTTTGGGCTCAATTGTGTTCATAAGTTGAGGGCTTCCTGTTGTTTGTGAGCTATCCAACAGGGACATGAAGAGAAAGGGAGAGACACATTCTCCTCAGAAAGTAAGTGGCGGAAAAAGAAACAGCCCAAAGTGAAAAGCAGGAAAGAAGCTGAAGTATGTTTCTCTAAAAGAGGATTGATTAATACAGTTTGTGAAAAACCAAACCATCAGGGAAAAGTGGGATTTGACAGTAGACTTTAGAATTAGCTGTTTTATTTGTTAAATGTCCAGCTTGCCTTTTCTCCAGCGTTCCAGCATCTTCCTTGATTTTCACCTCATAATCACAATCTTGCAATATAGGTCAGGCTGAGAGAGAACGGCTGGGCCAGAGTAAGTTTCCATGGCGGAGAGTGGGCTTGAGCCCAGGTTCTCCAAGACCTTGCCCTTTGGGGATCATTGGACATGGGAGTCCAAGCAGACAAGTGGCTTGTTCGCTAAAGAGTTATTGCCATGTTAACAGGGGGTACCTTCTCTGGCCTGCTTTTGTAGAACCTGTCACATGGGCATTTTTAAAATTTCACAGGAAGCATATATTTTACTGTGTTAGGATGCAGGGCCCAAGAGAAGATGAAGCAATGACAGCACGCAGCCTGCTATCCTTACCAAACCTCTATGCAGATTGACCATTAAAATAATCGTCTGCCAATTTAAAAATATGTCTGCATACTATCTAAAAGAGTAAGTTGTGTGTCTAAAATTTTAGATTTTAAAACAGCTTAACACTGCCTTCAGTCACAACATGTAGAGTAGACTAATGTATCCCTTTGCTTAAAAGCAATCCAGAGGTTCTCACAGTCCTTGATTCATGGCTCTGTTATTTTACAGTGTGGTCAACCTGACACATGGGACATGCCCTCAGGGACTGGCATATTATGGTCTGAGTAACACAGCTCAAACAGTTTAATATTACATCCACTGTTATAATACTCGTATAATACTCTTGCCCTTAAATCTGATGTAACTAGTTGAGATGGGTTTGGAATACTGGAGCAGTCAAATATAATAATAAATGTTTTAGCTTTCTTGGATGTAATTCTCTTGGAAGAAGATCAAGGGGAGGGGGGGGGCTTTCAGAAGAGAGGGATGATCCCAGTTGGCTGCAAATGTGAGATGAAGCAAAAGTTATTTCTTGTTTATGTTAATTAGGAATGGATGGATCAGCAACAAGGAAGCCAAGATGTAAAAGCATATGTTATATGGAACAAATGATGGGTACAGATTTGAGGGTTACTTTGCTCCAGGAAAAGGATGTCTTTAAATGAATTTTTCTAAAAAAACTCACCAAGGATTGACGTCATTATCTGCATATTTTTCTGGGAAAGCATTCTTCTGAGGAAAAGGAATCCTAAGCAAAACACTCAATAGTGTTTAGAGAAACAATCTCATATTAAGGCATTTAAAAGGAAACCATTGAAAACCTGTTTGTAATGAACAAACAAGTATGGTACTTGTATGACTCAATAGAGACAGGACAGAAATTACAATTTCATGAGAGATGATTTAAATATCTATGGTGATGAGAACGAAGATGATATAGTTGCAAGCTTGTTGGTATTGCTGAAATAAGTATTTCTGACCATTCTTTTTTCTTTATTTGGAATACATAAAACCTCCATATCTGCTTTCTGTGTAGGTAAAAACTATTTTGCAGAAATAACCAACTGTGTGGTTCCTCAGTGTAACATTACTGTAGTGAATTGGAAGTATGTAGGAGTGTTACAGTTGGACAGTGCCTACTTTTTTTGAGAATATATTCTCCTTTATAATATAAACTGTTCTCTCATAAGGGCTAGAAAGAAATATATTATCATCCTGAAGCTTGAGAGATTCAGTATTGTGAAAAGAAAAATAGATATATGCATCCCTGTAGCTTTTTGAGCCCATGAAAGGACCAACATCAGATCCCTCTAAGCATACCAAGAACGTTCTTCTCTTCTCTTCTCTTCTCTTCTCTTCTCTCCTATCCTCTCCTCTCCTCTCCTCTTCCCTCCCCTCCCCTCCCCCCTCCTGGTTTAATCATATTATTTTACTAATACTATAATTATCAATGTCTTATTATTGCATACATATTTGCATAAAAGTGATGCATGGATGCATCTATTGTTTCCATCCACCCTTGCTTTTTGAGAGGCATCATCTTTAATTCAGAATGATATTCCTTTTGAACATATATATAAATAATACATAAACATACATAAATATATTTCTACATGCAGTTGAATACATACTTACCTGAGATAAAGCCACTTGAATGGCTGATTTACAGATTGTGGTAAGCCATGATTTGTTTAAACAAGTTTTTTGAGTGAGTCACTGTGATATAATTCATGATGGATCAATCCATTCGGTGAGATTAATTTCTAAGGAAATCCTCATGCCACACCACAAAATTGTAATATTATAACAGCTACATTCATATAACTCTGAAGGTATTGGATTAACCCTTTTTCTGGATACACACATTAGATTAAATGAATGAACTAGGCTTGCTCAATTCATCAGGCCACAAAAACAGTCTGAAGTTATCAAACCACACATTGTGCAAGTTGCAGACATCAGATTTTTGGCCTATGGAAGCATGTTGTGTGAATCAATTGTGTGAATAGAAGAGAAAGAAGATTTTTAGAACCAGAAGCATCAGGAAAGGAGAAATGATGTGTGTATTGTGTATTGTGATATTGTACAAAAATTGCAGAACTGGCACTGTGATTCTGGAAATCTCCTTTGGATATTTTGGCAAAAAAAGCCCTCTGTTTATGTGGATATCACTTGTTCTTACTAGCAGTTCATTACAACCATGAAGTAATGTGATTTTTATTATCTCCTCATCTGATTCTTTTTTCTCACTCCCCTTCTGTGGTCAGTGAGAAGGAATTATCTAAAGTAGCTCCTGGACTAGAGTAACTAATGACTTCCTAGGCCGCATTGACCGAGGAATAGAATCAAGATCATGTGAAGTGTTAATACCACTTTAGAATGCCTTGGTAAGACCTCATTTGAAATATTGCATCCAGTTTTGGTTGGCATGATATCAAAAAGACATTTGGACTCTAGAAAGAGTGCAGAGAAGAGCAGCAGAGATGATTAGGGGACTGGAGGCTAAATATGAAGAATGGTTACAAGAATTGGGTATGTCTAGTCTAATGCAGAGCAGGACGAGGGATGACATGATAGCAATCTTCCAACATCTCAGGGGTTGCCACAAAGAAGAGGGGGTCAAGCTATTCGCCAAAGCACAAGAAGTAATGGATGGAAAGTAATCAAGGAGGGAAGCATCTAGAACTAAGAAGAAATTTCCCGGCAGAACAACTAATCAGTGGAACGACTTCCTTCCAGAAGCTGTGAATGCTCCAACACTAGAAGTTTTTAAGAAGAGATTGGACAGATGTCCGGTTTTGCACCCACAGCACATGGCTGCGTGAGAGCGGACCTCCACTCCCCACGGCTAGTTTCTTCCTGCTTGGGGGACCCTAGATGGGTCCGAAGTGCCCCAGAGAGGTGATCGTGAAGGAGGGGTGCCCTGTTGATCACGAAATGATGGCAATTGCTTCATTTGATCTGGGGAAAGCCCTCTGAACCTGACAGGAAAAAGGCTAGTATGAGATCAGTGTCTAACCCAAGCTACTTGCAGCCAAAGTCCCAGAGCATGAACCTAAACATCGGTGAACAGCATGCTTGGAATTGGTGAGAGTACTGATCTTCTTTCTTCCATCTACTATCTAAATCCTTGAAAAGATCCCCAAAGCAAGAAAACCTCCAGAAGTGAAGGGAGAGGACTATATCCCCATTCCTTTACAGATGGAAGCAGTGAATTAATATTAAAGGAGGGAAGAAATATATTAAAATTTGATTTAAAATACTTCAGTCTGGACAAATTTAGGAACTAAAATACTGTCAAGATTATACCCTAAATTTTTTTTGATAGAATTATAAAAATATATAACAAAAATAACTTTTTGATTGCAAGAAAAATAACTGCTGACATCTAGTGGAGACTCAGAGAATAGAACACCAACAATAAGGACTCAGAAATTGGCAGAGGGTCTAGAAACAAAGAAAAAGTTGTTCCTTTGAATTGCAAATAACCTTGAAGACAGCTGGGAACAAAGGAAGAGCCAGCTATAAGATTAAAAAGTGTTTGAAAGAAAAAAAAAAACACCTGGACTGTTGCTTAAACCTAAGAACTGTTTATGGAAAAGAAAAACCTTGGCTTTTTGGCTAATCTTT